TTCACCTGTAGTAAAGGAAACTGCGACTTTCGCTCTTAAACTTCGTTTTTCCGCTTTCTCGCACATTTGTTTGCTTCTACTTTCATTTCGGAAGTCCTAATTTCTTTCATACGCACAGATGAGTATAACTTTGTTTAACCAGTGTTTGAGGTTGGGTTATATAGAGGTGAGCAACTACTGCTTTGTTCACTAAGACAACGTTGTAGCGGATACGCTAATGAAAGGCTTTAACACTGCTAACTGGAAAAAAAACGATCCAGACTTGCGAATATGGTAGTGATTGTGAAAATTGACCGCCACCGTATCAGATAAGACCTTCAATTCGGTTTATGGGTAAACTCATCCTCGTTAGATGGTGTGTGCAGTACTTTAGAGAATCGGGTCAGAATCCTCGCAAACCACCTGTCACTCGGTTCAGGTTCGACCAACGTTTCCCAAACAGTCATCATATCATTCAAATTTCAAAAGCTGTGCCGTAGTTAACGACCTACCTGATATTTTTTCAGTATAGTTCTTGGTCATGCAATTAACATAATAAGAGAAACGTCTCTGGAACCCATGTAACTTCTCACCCGTTTAGTTATTAAATACGTGAAAGATCAACCAAAAGAGCTTATCACACCCTAGAACTTTAACTGCATCAATCTCCGAAGATTGCTTATCTTAGGCAGCACCAATGGCCCGATCGCACTGAAAGTTGTCGCAGTTGGTTTTAGTAAACAAAAAACTAAAGCCCGTCTGACATGTGTACTGAATGTTTTAATTGTCCCAGACAAAACTGTTTGGATCGTACACCTAGAAAATACATTGCAAACATGTTCCCGACATACTTTGTGTGGCATAAATATTGTCAGAACTCTTTGACTCATTGGCATCCATATTTAGTCCTATTGCAAAAGCGTATTTTTCTCCTAAAGAGCCCTGAATAAAAACCTTTGTAGAAATGGCCTTCTTCACGCCAGCCGAATACCCACAAATGTTGCCTAACGGAAATTCATTATCCCAAAAATACCATTGTAATTAGGTGTACTAAATGGTACTTGTCGAAGACATTTTCTAGTACCAATCAACATTTTAATCGTATGACATTGTATTAGCAGTCACGTTGAGCTGCAACCTATTTCAAGTTGCTTTTAACGTGCGCATATGTTCGAAAAAATAGGCTCGTACGCGGAGAGTCCCGTGACACTGAGAGCCACCATGTTCCACGATGCACCACCAGTGCCGTTGTCCTGTATGAGTTCATCCACTCAAAAACCAGTCAGTGGGCCACAACATCACTAATCTGACTTATTTTTCGTGCGCTTGCAATGTTTGGCAGCTTCGATGGTCGTAAAAGAAAAATGCAAAAATTTTAATGACCATGGGATATCTCTGAGGATCGCAAAAGAGATACCATTGCACTTTAGACTTGATCTTACTGGATGTACTCCCAAATCAAAGTTACATAAGTGGCAAAATAGAAGAAATTGCCAAAACCTTCTTTATTTGGGCAAACAAGTAGGACCAATGCAATATCCCAGGTCAATGAAAACACCTGTTAAAAGTGCACACTCTATAACACCCACCAGTTTTTCCGATTTTTGCAATAAAAGACGGTTAGTTTTTCCAAACAGGCAACAACCGCCTTCCATTTATATGAAATTAGGTAACATTTTTTTGGTTTAGTTTGAACGTCCATCCCAAACTACCTTAGTCGATGTCGCTTATAAACAAGGGTCTATAGAGAAGAAAACGAAGTGCATATTTATATTATGCTAACCATTCCAGCCCACTTAACTCCATACATCATCTTCGTACTACTTAACTGGCATTCTAGCCAAGATTCTGTTTACTTAAGTGCATTTTTCTAGCATGATTCGATGTCAAATGTGGCCCTCAGCACTGCTGAACATAAATTCTTTATTATATGATCATTCTAACAACAAGGTAAGGCCTGTGCAGCAATTCTGTAGTCAATGTTCATCTTTGAAATCCTTTGGCGCATAACCGCAATATAATTCAGACGATTCATGAATACCGAAATACTACCAGTTTCCCCAAACCTATTGAGAAACAGTCGAAAACCCGGAAAACGGGTCAAAGCCCAGGCCTTTCAGTAGGTCACCTGGCAACCTGATGGCTGACGTATGTCTACATCTACTTGATATACTGATTCAATTAACGTTGGTTGTCCGGGAATTTGAATCCGTCTTTTCAGACTGAGCTCTAAATATCCTGGTACATCTGTTGCATTTCATGATCACATGTCACGCGAAACCTGAAAAACTCTCAAGCTTCTGTGAAACAGCCAGCTAGTTCGTTCAGCGAACGTTGCTTCAGTTATGCACTACTATGGTCCTTTTCGCGACTGTTAATATAAACTTCGTGAGATTCTCGAGAAATACACTCATTTGAAAATCAATTTGGTTTTCACGGGAGACTCATTTGAATCTCTCGTTTATGACGTCCTCCAGCTGAATGTGGCCGCCTCATGATTCAGTTAGCACGATATTTGAGATATCGCAGTATATTTTCATAAAGGAAACTACTCACAAGGTCGAAGAGGTTCAGCAACATTGAGAGTAGTTTCCTTCGTGAGATTCTCATCGGCTAAGCGTCTGATCGTAACACTAATAACAATAAACGACGTGACAGAATGCAAGCGCATAGCAACCCGGTTTAGAAAGATTGGTTCAAGCGCACGGAAGATATAAAACCATCACAACAAGCCCTCAGTGAAGTGTTGAAACGCAAAACGTAAAATCGTACAAAAAGGAGTAATTGTGTGAAAGCAAAACTGAAATTTATGTGTGTGTTTTAGGCCAGACAGCAAATAGGCTGGTGAGTCCAGGAATATTCTGGTGGACGCCCATCCAAACATACTTACATAGCCTGGCGTGATGCAGCATACCTCACTGTTGCCATACATTTTGTGGTCTAAGAGCATTACCTACTGCAAAACAAATATGGTTCTAGGATTTCTAAACCCCTACATCTCTTGCCGTGAGTCGACGAATATACTAACTTTTAAGAAACTCAAACCAACACACATTCATCAGGCTGTTTAAAGTGGTTTAATGTAGTTCATTTGCCAATAAACACTTATTTTGTTTGTCAGTCTTCGTTAAAAACTCATCCGAACCCCCAAAACTTGTAATACTGTCCTGAATACGACAAAAGTATTCTATAAACTTAAAGGGTAAAATGTAACTGTCTTTGGTGGACAGTAAGCTGTTCGGTGGGAAAAGTAATGGTCCGTGGCGTGACACACGACTCTTCAGTCTACAAAGTTATTTTGGCACTCTGTGTTTGGAATATATTTGAGAAAACACTCAAAATGTTGATGATGTAAGCTGCAATAAGCCGTATTTCCTGGATCTTGTGATTAAGTTTAATTAATTAACGGGTAGTCCAATACCGTTTTTTGGACAGATTACATATTTTGATGCCCTTATTTTCCGTGTTGAATCACTTCATTCATTGAGGTATCGACAGTAATGGGGAAGCACTCATTGATCTTCGGGCTAGAATCTCCAGTCGGTTATTTCCTCGGAAAATATTAGCACGAACGTTTACAATTCCTCTTTTGTTTTGATCTAGAGTTGATGCTGAGATCAGTAACACCAACGAAAATTTAGTACCGTGTCCATCAACTATGCTTTTCCTTGAACACAGAATATATGTGCTGCAAAAGTTTGCCCGGTTATCCTGCTTTGGTTGACAGCCTATTAAACACCGCTTTTTGCGAATGGTGTTCCCAAATTAGTTTCCAAAAGCTAATCATTCACCACGAACGATAATTATAGTTCAGCTGTAGCACCCTTTCAGTGCCTAGCTGCCATGCCTCACGAAGGAGGCACAATGGATTAGATACTGCCAGGTCGCCAAAGCCTAGACAGGGGAAGTCGAAAGGCAGAAGTTGGATTCGAACCATGGGACCTTCCGGTCAGTTCACCATGGAAGATTGCAGAGCATTAGCCCCAGAAAACGTTCCCAAATCTATTCATTCAAAATATGCATCAGCAACAGATTTTGTCGTTTGTATTAAATCAAAGATCCCAATTTTCATATTTAATCCGGCACCTACAGAAAAGGTGCCAAGAAGAGCGCACTTTGTAGCTAGCTAGCCATCACTGAAGTATATTTTGCTATTTCTCAGATCCCTAAATGGAGGTACTTCGTAGGCCATTGTCACAAATCTCTCGTGTTTCACTGTTAACCATGTGTGAATTTTAAAAAGCACCTGATACTGGAACCTTACAAGTGATTTGTCAGAACTTTCAAAATCACCTGTCCATATATCATGATAGCGTCCTAGAATTCTATTGCTGCCACTCTTGAAAACTACCTCATATTGTTCTTTCACTTGACGTACGTTCACTGTAAAGCAGCCGCGTTCAGTTTTGACAACACAGGTTTTCAGTTTATGCACGGTTTCGGTCTGTGTAAACCCAATGTTTAAAGTAACCACATGGATTTTGTTTGAGATTCTAAGAAAATACATAGCAACGTCGTCCAAGTTACAGCTTTCTTAAAAACTAACCGCAATATCTCTACCTGTCCACCAACAGCAAGAAAGCTTTCGTTGCAAAATTCCTCCTAGGATTCAGCAATAGGAAGGGTGCGCAGACTAAGCCTCCTGTAACTTTCAAACCAATTTTTTGCGGGGGAAACAGCAATGGTAGCTTCTTTCTGGAAGATAAATGGAGTATCTATAACTAATTAAAGCCCAGTTGTTCCCTATGTAAATGACGTTGCAGAGAGAGAAAACAGTCATTTAGAAAACCATGGCTAACCGCCTTCAGAGAATGCAGTCAAACAGAATGAGTTGTGAGCAATATTTTATCCAAAATAATTTGTATACAATCACGCAATACATCTGCTTGGGTAACGATATTAGCCTGACACACAAGAAGTGCCAGCTTCGCAAAATTTTATGTCCGTGATGATCTGATATGTTCATTTCTTTTGAAAACTACTTGATTGACTTTACCATATTCACCGGCACTTTATAGGTGTCACTTGCTGACGACAGCAATTGGTTGTAATGGGCGTACTTCATCCACACATGTGTCTGCATCCGGGTAGGCTTTCTCATCACTGTGCACATGTTGTGACACGCTTTCTGGATTGTAATTAGGGCTGTCATCATCCTGCCTTTCCTGAGCCGTTGGATTATGGGTCAAGGTATTAGGAATATTGCACACTCTTAAGGTTCCTTGTTTTGGCTTTCGAAAGGAAACTTGCAGCCGGCGACCATCACAAGTTGCTCCATTCATTACGTTCACCGCATTTTGTGCGCTTTGGAAGTTATTGAAAGAAACAAATCCAAAGTTTCGTGCAAAGTTGGTTTTGGGATCCCTCGGGATCGAGACGCCTAGAATGATTCCAAAGCGGCCAAATAGTTCACATAGGCGGTTTTCCGACATGAAATTCCCTATATTGTACACATAGACGGAATTTGAATTTGCTTTGTCTGTTTTGTTTTCTTTAACTTTCCTTAGTGACTGTTCACCTGAAGGAATGTCCCCACCTTGATTTGCAACGGGGAAAAGCGGCGGTGGTAGGGTTGTAAACACTGGACAACCATGAACGGCATTTGTTAGCCCTTCCAGTTGGGTCGCACTGGGCGAACCATTTAAAGGTGCGGAGCTGGGGTGCACAGTTGACAAGAAATTCGGAGACGTATTAGGATGGACAAAATAATAGGGGGAGATATAATTGCTTGTCATTGGGATTGATAACGGGGATTCGTAAGGACCATACTCAGAGGGCCACAAAATATTTGTAAGTTGTGTCTGGTGTGGAATAGGCACAAGCGTAGGAACATAACCACCTGGAAATAACGGGCCCGATGGAGCACATAAACTGTCCTGTGAGTATGTCAGGGGGGATGTAATGTTAAATGGATCACAGGTGAAACCCAGTCTGCTGTGCAGTGCCAACATTTGAGCAATCAGCTGCTCGTTGTAACCACAAAGTGACCGCGCACCCTGTATCTTGTTTGACTGATTTTTAGTTGATGTCAAACTGACTGAGTGACGGTACGGTGGAGGCGCGAACTTAATTGTTAAAATTTGATCATCCGACATTCCCGGCCATGGCATGCCGTCCAAAGATTTCTTAGCAGCTTCTGCACTGCATCTCTTCTCAAATAAAACATACGCACTCCCCTTAGATACATCTGATTCACGTTCACGAAGGACGCGACACTGGATTACTTTACCAAAACGTGCGAATTCAGTCAGCAGGTGATCATCCGTGATGGATGATGGTAGATTTTTAACGTAAAGGTTAGAGCTGTGGTACAGCCTCCCCTGCAGTTTTGCCAGAGAAACCTTCAGAACCTTGTCCGCAATTCGATACCCACCTTTCGAT